CCTTTTAATTTACTAAATAAGCTGGCAGGAAATATTAACTATTAATTGGACGAAGAATGGCCCATGAAAGTGAGCTACCTTACAATCACATGTACCCGACAAACCTCTACTCGATACAGACGTAATCCACTCGCGCATAGAGACGCTGCTGATACGACGCTGAATAGTTGAAATGCGCAGAGTCCAACTAGCTCCTTAAATGCTTTTCATGAATGCCGCAAACACAGATGATTCCGGAAAGAAGAACGTAATATTTCTTCTAAAATAGATTGGTGCACTTTCCCATATTAAATTTAAGCCTCTTCTGTATCGTTGAGGAGAAAGAAGGAGTAGTGTACTCCCTCACGTGTGTCGCTGCACTGGCGTCCGTCATCGTCGTCTGTTCCTTGTAAACATAAGGGGTGTTAATTGGGCAAGTGGGTAATTGGTCTAACTAGCCAAGAAGGGACTTATGGTAACAAGCATTGACATTCCTCTTTAACGCGAATGCCGGTAACGTTAGTCCTTCTTGCCAGCACAATATACACACACACATGAAAGTAGAAAAATAAACGAAAAGTATTATTTTCTGTATAACTATTACTCACACGATGAGTTTGGGAGGACATCTTTATCTTTTGATAACATCAGTTTATTAGCATTTATATTTTGTTTCGTCTATTCCTTATGGGTTATAACTCAACAACAATTTACGTCATTAGCAGATTCTCACACTGTTGTCTCGCTTCACAACAATCCTCGAAGATACAATCTTCAGATTGAGTAATTCCTATTTTTTATATATTCTGAACAAACAAAAATCATATCTCTGCCAGCAGGGAGATCAAGTTTGGCACCTCAGAAGAGCTTCATCTTGACTCTGCATTCACAGTCTCCTTCCGATTTAATCAGAACTTGAAACCCCAGTCCTGGATAACTCCACGAAATCTTTCCCAATCGTTCAAGATATCTTAAAAGTGTTTGGTGAAGTTCTTCTCGTTAATTCTCATTTTATGACTACATTGCTCTCGCCTACTATATCTTACCCTTTTTTGGGAGGAAGGGGGGGGGGGGATTCCTGTGAGCAGACCAGCTAGGAACACTTTAAATGACTCCTTGTTTGATTTTTTTCAGTGAGTTTGATTTTTTCTGATCAAGTTCCCTGCATAGACAATCTGCTCACCCTGTGTGTGTATGTGCAGAGGAAAGGGAAGGAAAATAGAGAGAAAACAGAGAGTGAGAGAAAGAGAGAGAAAGAGGAGGTTAACGTTACCTTTCGTCTGATGCAACTGTTCACATTGCAATAAACAGGTACTTGGGAGTTAAATAGCTAACACTCACACACACAGGTGGGGCAGGCCTGATAGCTGAGTGGACAGCGCTCTGGACAAGTAATCCTTAGGTCCGGGGTTCGATCCCCGGTAATGACAGAAACAAAATGGGCAGAGTTTCGTTCTCCCTGATGCCCCTGTTACCTAGCAGTAAATAGGTACCTGGGAGTTAGATAGCTGTTACGGGCTGCTTTCTGGGTGTATTCACCTAGTTGTTCTTGCGGGGGTTGAGCGCTGCTCTTTCGGCCCGCCTCTCAAATGTCAATCAACTGTAACTAACTACTAATATTTTTTTCTCCCCTACCCCCAGGAAGCAGCTCCGTAACAGCTGTCTAACTCCCAGATACCTATTTACTGCTAGGTAACAGGGGCATCAGGCGTGAAAGAAACTTTGCCAATCTGTCTCTGCCTGGTCCGGGAATCGAACCCGGGCCACAGAATTACTAGTCCTGCGCGCTGTCCGCTCAGCTACCAGACCCCACACACCAGGTGTGTGTGTGTGTGTGTGTGTGTGTGTGTGTGTGTGTGTGTGTGTGTGTGTGTGTGTGTGTGTGTGTGGAAAAAATTAGTTAGTAACAGTTGATTGATTGACAGTTGAGAGGCGTGCCGAAAGAGCAGAGTTCAACCCCCGCAAGCACAACTAGGTGAATATATACACACAGACGATTTCCGGACGAGCCGAACAAATTGGAGAGTTTATTTCACCTATTGTCTCTGTTGATCAAAAATTATATAGATATCCAGGAATTACAAAGTTGCTACGAGATACATCCTCGGGGTATGCTTGTGTATGAGAGAAAAATATATGTAGTAGATAAATAGATAAAGAAAAATAGGTCGGGAGTCAGGGCATGAGACCACTGGCTGTTAGAAGGGCCGGGTCCAGAAAACAGGAATACATTATGCACGTAATTTGGTGAAGATATCACTGGCATGATGCAAAATATATATGTACTGAAGTCTAATGTACATGTTCTGCTGTTATCATAAGCAATGTGAGGTTCAAAACACTTATTGAATACTATTGTGAGTTACCAGCTATTCGCTAACAAGATTTGTTTAAATTGATAAAGTGTTTGTATGTTTTGGTCGTCAGACAACTGCCAAATTGTGTCCCATGATTTGTTGATTTCAAATGATAATTGTATAGAGATTGCTTCGATACTATTTACTTCACTCAGGGTGTATATTTACTTGATTATTTCACTCCTTGTGAATGATTACTTTCACTCAGTGTCTATAATTTATTAATTACCTCACTTAGAGTGTATTATTCCTTAATTATCTTACTAAATTTGCATGATTGGTTGATTACTTCACTCGGTGCGTATAATTGCTTCATTACTTCCTTCACTGTGGATGACTATTAAAATTTTTCGCTATGTATGACTTAATATATTTCACTCGTACTTATCACATTGATTGTCGCTCCTACAATCAATCACTAACCATTTGTTGTGTTCCATACGTAAGTAACGTGTTACATTTAAATTTTCTTCAGATATATTTTGCATTGGACCTTTTAATATATATAGTTTAATATCCATAGCCGTATGAATTAAGACATGTAGACAATACACTGATCAACAATTATACAATCATCACTTGGTAATTACATCATATAAGTTATTCATCAGTCAGTAAATTCATCTTAAACATCCTAAAATAAACATCTTAAAACAAAAATCTTTGAGGTGAACAATACAAAACAAAACATTGTTACAAATGTTTATTTTAATTCTCTGCATATATATATATGATACACAACTATAACTCCATATTATGTCTGGTGTAACTGTTTACATAACTTTAGAACTCAACAGGGGGAACTACTTAAGTTTTATACATATATGGTATTTTTAGATTCCTTTAGAATACAGATCATATCATAAATTTTAGTGTGAAATTCTTGTTTCTGAATATGTATATATATATATATATATATATATATATATATATATATATATATATATAATATTTTTAATGGAAGGCAACGCATGCAGCATTTGAGGTAATGGAGCATACTGCCACATCGTCTCTCTAACACGTCTTCACACTGAGATGTCGTCAGAACGGAATGTCATCACACTTCCACGCAGACGCACTAACACTTCCGTCAAACTAACGTACCTTCACACTAACGAGGCGTCACACTGACACATCGACTCTAACCCGTCGCCACTCACTCTCTCATGCTGATTGTAACACTGTTATATGTCGTCATTCAAGTGCATTATCACACTCTCACGTCGTCACACTAATACATTGTCTCAAAAAATGTATTATTGAAAGCCTGATTCACATAAGACTCACACTGGCAAGATCATGTTAAAAAATAACTTTAGCAAGAACGTCACATCTAGAAAGCTTTCGGCTCCAAACATGCCAATGACAAGTCTGGTTACCTTGAGGTTACCTTGAGGTGCTTCCGGGGCTTAACGTTCCCGCGGCCCGGTCGTCGACCAGGCCACCTGGTTGCCGGACTGATCAACCAGGCTGTTGGACGCGGCTGCTCGCAGCCTGACGTATGAGTCACTGCCTGGTTGATCAGGTATCCTTTGGAGGTGCTTATCCAGTCTGTGTCACATGTACAGCCTGTTCTGTCTCACACTTGTCACATACAGAGGTTGTTCTGTCTCACACTTGTCACATACAGAGGGTGTTCTGTCTCACACTTATCACATACAGAGGGTGTTCTGTCTCACACTTATCACATACAGAGGTTGTTCTGTTTCACACTTGTCACATACAGAGGCTGTTCAGTCTCACACTGTCACATACAGAGGTTCTTCAGTCTCACACTTAACAAGAACAAGGCTGTCACACTATAAGTTTAATACTGTGGCGCGGCTGATCAGAGAAAAAACTTAAAATCGAACAGCAATGTAGTTAACTTCGTCCATGTTTATGCGTTCACGTGCGGTGGTGAACTGCGTGACCCGGCTGAAAAGTCCTCGCACAGATGTCATGCTTTATCTTCTAGCGTGTCTCCTTTACCATCTAACGAAATTCATCAATACATTTTCATGCACATTCTGTGCATAAGTTTGAAATAAATAAATTATCTGTGAATTTTATTCGCCAACCTAATCACCCCTTAGTGACATGATTATTCACTTGCATATATTGCTTATATAATAAAAAACGTGATACAAATGATATACCCAAATATATATATATATATATATATATATATATATATATATATATATATATATATATATATATATATATATATATATGATACTGGAAAGTAACAAAGTAGGATTATTTTGATTGCTGCTTGTCGTTAGACATCTTCAATCATTTAACAAAATCTTTAAATCTATAAAGAACATTAACATTAATTTAATTCCGCTCATAAATAAATGAATACATACACACATTATATAGTGTTCAGTGTTCAGTGAGAAACCACAAGGTCTCCTCTGAATACTTTTTATTTTCTTCTCCGAGGCTATGGGTCCCCACATTGGCACCAGAGGTGGTACCCTCACAAACTTTAAAAAAAAAAAAATATATATATATATATATATATATATATATATATATATATATATATATATATATATAATATGTGTGTATGTGTGTATGTATATGTGTATATGCACGAATAATATGTACTCACTTATTTGTGCCTGCAGTATCGAGCTCTAGCTCTTGGATCCCAGACACGTGTATGTGTGTGTGTGTGTGTGTGTGTGTGTGTGTGTGTGTGTGTGTGTGTGTGTGTAAGTGTCCGTATGTTTAAATGTGTGTGTTTGATTAGTTATCTTTCACAACAAAATTATGAAAACACGTCATTTTGGGAAGGAATTATATACATTTCACGTTACTACTTGATAAATCATCAACTGGTACCAGAAATTCCTCGGTCTCTCATCTCTCAGTATATTTTCTCGCTCATTTGCAAGCCCCATTATTAGATACACTCATAAAGAAATATGAAAATCGGTCACCGAAGCACTTGATAGAAGAGATAATGAAACTTTACAGTCGGATGCATTCACTCCCGTGAATTGTTTCATGACAGAATTATAGGAGTGAGGTAATAACCGGAATGAATGATCAATCGTCAAATGATTTCGTCCACATCATCTGAAGAGATTTTATTACGCACACACACACACACACACACACACACACACACACACACACACACACACACACACACACACACACACACACACACAACCACACACACACACACTCAACCACCGCAAATTTGTTACAATCTATGAAAATTTTCCACAAAAATATCAGATCATTTTTCTTCACAACTATACTAGTTTAGAGGGGAAAAGCTTCAAAACACAAATAATACATTTTATATGGGTAAATTGCCTGAGCATTTATGAAAATATATATTTTCAGTTTGGTTAATATATTAATTACATATATAGAAGAGAGTCAAGTCACTCGGGCATGCCTTCTCTATTTCTCTCTCTCTCTTTCAAATAATTGGCACGCGCGTGTCGGTTCCCAATCTTCACTGTAATTGGTACGCGTGTGGATATTCAATCTTCACTGCTATAGGCAAGCGTGTGGATGCCCAATCTTCGCTGTAACTGTACGCAAATGGGTACCCAGTTATCATTGCTATTGTTACGCTTATGGGTGCCCAATCTTTGCTGTTATTATCAAGGGTGTTTGCAAATAGCCGACAATGTGAAGATTAGGTACCTATACGCATGCTGTAATTTGCATGTGGGATGGTACCTAACCCTTCACTGTTTTGATACGCGTATGAGCCCTAATTTTCACTGCGACTGGCGCATCCAAGGGATTTCTGAGATGTGTGAAGTCCACTGAAACACACTTTCCAGTTAATCACATTAATCCCACTGCTTTCATTGTTTATTTGCGACACATAATTTCTTTCGGAATTCGCTGGATCGCTCATCACACATTATTTGATTTATTACACATTGTATATAAACTGCCAGACGGTTCTCTTCGTAATACTGACGATGACACTGTATCCCAAAATGGGTGTTTGGAGAACGATGCCAGAGAGGGAGGTGAAGTGAAGCCTTCTTTCCTTTTCTGGCACCACCTCAAATAAGCCGAGGGCACTCAAACGACTGAAGCTGAATTCTGGATGAAACGTAAAAACAGGAGTTCTCCCTTTTTTCAGTTTCATAGTCGTTTAATCGCATTAATAAATTGTTACAGAACCACTAGTTTTTGTTCTTAATGACTATTTATTAAAAATAGATTTATATATGTATATCATTGTCATGCCTGTTAATTAACAACATTTCACCACTGAGTTGTCACTACGTCAGGTGAGCAAGTTGGCCCAAACCTCGTGTAACTGGCGCTTGTTATTGTCTTCGGGAAAAGAAAGGTCCTATGTATTGAGGGACACTGACACGCACTCTGGGTACTGTGGGCTTCCACTTGGGTTTTGACACGAACGCAACTTGTCAAACGCCGTTTACGGTCCTGTTATCTTCTTCTAGAACTACAAACGCTCACACGTAGTTCGAGGTCTCACACGTCTGATAGTCAAATGCATCACATGACTGCTAGTCCGAAAGCATCTTCGCAATCCAGTTCCACTTCTCGGGAAAGTGTAATGTTTTTTTTAAGTTTACAAACATTTAGAAAATAGAGAAAATTTGCTTTTATGTATGCAACCACTCGAATTATTTAGAATAAGTAAACTGCCAATTGAAGAGAAAATAAATGAGCGTTTACGTACGTTCTTCAGTTTATCACAGCGCGTAGCTATACTCAGTCACCAAGCTTAGTCTAGAGGCTGAACCGCTGAGCTCTGAGGTACCGCTTAAAGCTTAACGCTTAAAGATTTATCTACACATTATATATAAACAGTACCAAATGCCAACTGATAGCCACAGCTTGGCATGAGGTCACCTATACAAAACTAGTCACTGAAACATTTCAGTTCTTAGGGAAGCTACAATTCACCAATATCCCCGTCCGGCCAGCGATAGTCCCTGCTGCGGCCGGGAAGGAAGAGCTCTGGGAGGACTCTTAGAGAACGGTGAGGCGGATAAGAAAGAAGAAGGGCAACACGAAACCGTGGGTTCTCCCGGGGGTTCATCTGACGGCCACAACGTAGGTGAGGGCTGCTGACCATAGCGCTAACGTTGCCTGGTGGATGCTCACGCTGCTGGAGTCTATTCGCTGCACCGCCGCCGTCTTGTCTCCTGTCCGGGGAGTAAGAAAGTGAAAAACGTTGCGTTAGATTACCGAAGGTAAATCGCTGCAAATATTGAGAGTTAGAAGGACATGTGATACATATAATCTAGAATGGGTAGATATTTTGAAGGGTGCATTGTACCCCGCACTATATGTACAAACTTCTCCCTCTCCTGGTCAGACGCCTGGTCAGAGACCGGAACGTGGGGACCTTGACCCCCGGAATCATCGCAAGGTAACCGCAAAGTAAGGTTCCCAAGCACAAAAATTATGCATTTCCACTGAGAAAATACGTATGCGAGAGAGTTTAAAGTATAAACAACATATGTGATAAGAAGAAACACATGATACAGGAAGCAGAGATAATGTGTGTGAAGAGTATGGAACATGTACGAGGGATGGTGAAATGTTATTAAATGCTGTGAAGAGTCTCAATGTAGAAACATGTCAAGACATGTCTCAAACATGCTGGCATGTTAACTCTCAAACATGTTGAGCATGTTTGAGAGTTAACTGTGTATTAAGCGAATAATTGGATACTGATTTAGGAATACTGTCCACCAGCGATGGATGGTATCCCTCAGCATATTAATTTGCTTCTGTAGCAGAGAAATGAGTTGTGCTGGAGAGGTTTAGAGTAGAGTGATTTAGGGATGGAAATTGATTGGTGTGACGGTAGATCCGGACATGAAGAATAAATAGGAGGAGGGATGGCGAGAGAATGCACGAAAGAGTGCGAGTGTCCACTCAAATGTCCGCTTTAGACGCTGCTCTGGTATAAATATGAATTAGAACTGTTTAAGTGAACAATCTAAAATGCATTTGCGGTGATAAAAGGATACAAAGTATGTAATTAATACTAATATTTTTATGTTAAGACAAAAGCACATAAATCCAATAAGTTATTGGCGGTAATTGGACAAAGTTCACGAGGACAATTTCTAACAGATAAACAGCAGTAAAGAGTGTGGACAATGCTAATTAAAATGAAGATAATTTGGTGATAACGACAGAAAAACCAATCCCCGCCTTCCATTACCTTCCGTGACGAAGACCATGGTGGAGGCTGGTCGCGTGTTGGGGGCGGTGCAGGTGTAGTTACCGGAGTGTTGGTCGCTGGCGGTGTTCACCTCCAGGCGGCTCACGGGCGTCGACCCTCCCTTGCCCCGGAGCTCCATGTTAATGGCCACCTCGGGTCGGTCTCGCACGTAGTTGAGGAGCTGGTCGTTGTGGTACCAGAGCACGTACTGAGGCGGCGTGGGGCTCTGAGGGCGGGCCAGAAAACCTTACTGTTTAACATGCATAATATCTTTTTAATCTAATCAATCAATGAAATCAATCAACGATCTTATTCATAAATGTAAGTACGTTTAGATCTGGGAAAGGTTACAAAAACAAGTATTTGTTTAACTAATGAATAATATAGTCTGCTTACGTTATCAGTCACGTGATAACGTAAGCAGACTCGTTGCCGCCTAAAAAACTCAATATAATACACTTTTTTCATATTAATTATTCTTCATAATACCATCTTCTTTAGATGGAAATGTAATTAAGAGTTCGAGTTTCAGGATTTGCATTATAAGTTGATATCTTCTGATCCTCTGCAGAGTTTGAGAAAAGTAAACAAATGTGGAAATCTTCCAGGAGAAAAATTTTCAGATCCAAGTGAAACTCTTCAAGCGTGACTATCATCACGCAGATGGAGACGGTAAACCAAGATGACGATGCTTAATAAACGGAGGTCCTTCAAGTAGGTCATGACAACAAGCAAGATAGAACCATCAACTAAGTCAAGCCATCAAGCAAGTCAGGTTCTTCAATAAGGTCAAGTCCCTTAAGTGAGGCACGTAATTCAAGCAAGTCAAACCCTTCATGCAAGTCAGGTCCCACAAGCAAGTCATCTGCTTCATGAAAGTCAAGTCCTTCAATTAAGTCAGGTTCTTCAAGCAGGTCTGGAAACACGTGAGACTTATCAAACATGTCAGGATCATAGACAAGAAAAGGTAGATACTAAACAATCTGCAGCTAGCAGGGATCTGCAAGGTCAATAACCTATATCTAGTGAGGTCCTTCAAATCATTTGAGTTCCTCAAGGAAATAAGAATTTTCAAGAGCACATCTTTAAGTAAGTTATAATCTTCAAGTAAGTTGGAATCTTCAAGTGGGAATCTACAAGTAAGTGGTGATCTACAGATAAATGAGGATTTCAGGAGAGTGCACTAAAACATATTAGGGTCTACAGAGAAGTGGGAGTCTTCTAATGGGAGTTTTCAAGAAATCAGAAGTCTTCAAGTAAGTAGGCGTTCTGTAACAAACAGGAGTCCTCAAGCAAGTTGGATTCCTTAAGCAAGAAGGAGTTATCAAGCAAATAGGTGTCCTGAAATACGTAGGTGTCCTCAAGCAAGCAGAGGTCAAGCATGTAGCAGTTATCAAGCAACTAAGAGTTCCCAATCAAGTGGAAGTACTCAAGCAAGAATGAATTCTCCAGCAGGAGGAACCTCTCAAACAATTTTCAATCATTAACCGAATGGAAGTCATCAACCAAGCGAGATTCATCAAGTAAACAGAAGCCATCAAGTAAATAGTATTCTAAAACAGAAGATGTCGTCAACCAAGGTTGACGACATCCTTAAAGAAGTTACGAACCCCAGGCAAGTGATAATCAACAGACATGTGAAAATTCTCAAAGCAATTGAATATTCCGTTCAAAATTATATATACACGATTACTGCTGACTTGTCAGGAGCAATTGTCAAAACAATCATTTATCGTCTGATATTTGAAACCCGATCCCCCCATGCTAGCTCCATTCTCACCGTGAGATGCAGACGACATATTGCTGGAGAAAATAGGGATGGAGAGGCAATTAAAAATTCCATTTGCAATTTCGAGTGAAACAAAAACGTCCTTTGCATCGTCAGAGTCAATTTCAGGCGCTGATTGCGTTCAATATCAGCAAATTTGTGGCGCCGCCATCTTGAAACATGGGAGATTGCTAGTTTGCTGCTCGGGAACATTATCAGCGCACACAATCTGCTGGGGTTTGCGCTACGCCGGTTTTCCGTTCTAGGGAGAGGAATGCATTTCAGAAAACATTACTGAATACACTATGCCCTTGTAAAGTAAAGAATAAGAGATTTGGGACGGATCGATGCACCGCGGGTCCTGCTGTATGCTAATTATATATTTAATATTTAGAAATAAAATGTAAAAAAGAAAATAATAATAATATTACCATCAATAATAACAACATTAAATATGGTCAAAATCGTTTAAACAGTAATTACTAGAATTGAAAACTAACTAATTTTTACATATTTTCTCAAAGCTGCAGGTTGGCCAGCCGCGGTTGGCGAGGGTGCATTGGCAAGTTCAACTGTCAATATGTCACTCAATATTGACACATCCGCTGAAATGCTGATGAAAGATTGACAGGTGACTGGGTACTGTCTCTCTGGTCTCTATGTCTTGCTGAAATGCACTCTCGAACTGGCACTTTTGCTAGACCCTTGGGATACCAGGAAAAGTGAACTCCTTTCCTAGTAAAACCACGTGAAAAACTGGAGAGAGGTGTTGGTTTTGGTAACTTAACTAAGCCAAAGGGAAGGCAAGAGGTAACTGACTTTTTTCCCAGTCTTGCCCATAGGAAATGTGGGGTAATTGACTGAAATCCCTTGCTAAGCTTTAAAGAAGACAAGAGGGAGGGGAAATCTAGATATCGACTCTAGATTTAGCTCCCTAACTCATCCCGAAATAAATCTGAAGGTCATCAATTGACCAATGTTAACCAGGGATGGGGATGACTTAACTCTTAGCTAGATCCTAGGAAGGTCCGGGGTTAAAATATTTCCAAGTTACACCCGAAGTAAGGCATAAGTATTCGCTAGGGATCCTAGAGTTAGAACCACGAGAAGCTCGCTATTATACATATAATTAAAACAGCGAGGAAGCCTAGCGGTCGTCTCTTCTCTATAGCTAGTCCCTCTAGAAGTGAAAAAAACAGACTTTTATATATTCTCTAATTAGTTCCACCGGGAAAAATTCTAGTCAGATCTGATTCATATGCCAAGATCTCCTAGGAAGGCAGTAGTCGATCCCTTCGAAGGCAATGTAGTACGATCCCGGGAAACGCAGTGATATTGAATTGTAACCTTCCAGACAGGACCTTGGTAAAGGGGCTGGCGAGGACACTGACCTTGTCGATGATGCAGGTGAGAGTGATGGGGGAGCCACGGTTGACGTGGTACTGCCCGTGGCCTGGGATGTGGGCCTCAGGCGTCACCACCTCCAGGTTGACGAAGAGCGAAATAATGCCCGTGCCAGTCGACACCTGGCACTCGTACGTGCCGTTGTCCTTCACTTCCACGTATTTAATGTGCAGTGTCCAGTCCTGGGTGCCGGCCACGTGCAGCACGGAAAACCGACGGTCGTTCGTATAGAGTACGTCCGCCGAGGTCAGGACGTGCCAGTCCCTCCGTCTAATCCATGAGATCTGTAACAAGAAACTAAATAATATATCGACTCTGTTATCCAAATTCATTACGAGTTATTATTAAAAACATATGTAATATAAATCATAAAATCATCAGCGAAACACACACACACACACATACACACACACACACACACACACACACACACACACACACACACACACACACACACACACACACACACACACACACACACATATATACACACTCCAGATCAATGGCAGTGGCCATGGAAGTTCTTTTATTCAAAACTGCAATTTAAACTTGGAGAAATTCTTTCAAGTTATGGGATATGCGAAACTACAATGACAACTCTTCCATTGAAATTCATTTTTCCTGTTGTAATTTTATCGCCTCATATATCCAACTCACAGAAAACGAAGCATGTAGAAATAGTTTGTAATATTTTTATTAAGAGTACAAAAAGAATAGTAACTAAGATATCTATATGTAAGATACATACAAATTCGCCCAACATGGTAAGTTCACAGAGAGAGAGAGAGAGAGAGAGAGAGAGAGAGAGAGAGAGAGAGAGAGAGAGAGAGAGGGAGAGAGGGAGAGAGGGAGAGAGGGAGAGAAGGGGAGGGGGAGAGTAGGATTGATTGATATATAGTTATTTAAATTTAATTGAAAAAAGTCATGTGAGAATGTGCTTTATTTCATAAAATGATTTTAATTGATCTAGTTTAAAAAATTTTGTATATATATATATATATATATATATATATATATATATATATATATATATATATATATATAGTGCGCGAGAGCGGAAGACTTGGTGCAAATCTTTAAACAAATTCACAAATAAATGTGCTTTTTTAAGGAGAAAATCCACTAGGACTCTAAGCCGCATCCTCTACCACCAGAACACAGGTCTAGTGGAAGAGGTTTTTATCATATAACATGGAAATATAGGAATTTACACAACTTCTACATTTTAAATCAATAGATGCAAGGGCTGGCTAGCCCCTGGATCAAAATCACTTTGAACACCCGGTTCATGTAAAATAACTCTGATGTCAACAGAATTTAAAATATTCCTCAAAAAACTTTCTGTTTGTGAGTATAATCCAGCTGGGTGCATTCCTACATTGTTGACCAGTTTTATTAAACATAATGGTGACCTGCTTCACCATTATACACATCACTCTTTCTTAAGTTGTGTCTGCATAGTGTGTTCTGTCCACACAGGGCGACACCTGCTGTCTACAAGTTCCCTTACCTGTCAACAACTTCATTTACCTCTCTACTAGTTCCCCTTACCTGTCTGTCTCCCAGATGTCCCACTCTGCAGGGCAGGAAAGCTGCGCCGCCCAACTGCGCAGTCACATTCGATACGGTATTGTTGATGGCCGAAGGCTCGTGCGCTGCTCCTTGGTAGGTCAGGGCCCACCGTGACCCGTGACCCGTCTTCTGTGGCTCTTCCGTCACCCGGTTTCTGTGTGAGGGTGACCAACACGGCGTTCAAGGGGACCTTAAAGCGCTAGGTTAGGGTGACGAGGGCTTTATAGCTCAGTTATGAATGCAAGCTATACATCACTTTCTTACCAATTAATGACCTCCTTTCCGGCTAAATCGAGCAAGTCAATCAAGAATATTAAAATACATTGACAATACCACAGTTCAGAGGCTGACTGACCCGTTCAGGGAGTTTTCGAGAATGTGGCTCTGGGCGACCAGGTTGTGGGCGTGGTGGGCGCCCCGGTGGGCGTGGCTGCGACCCAGGTGGGCATCAAAGAACCGTCGCTCATGGTGTCGATGTCGCCTGTGACGTCCGTGGTAAGCTGGCAGGGAGGGACATAAAATGTTAGCACATAAACAGACATTATGTGGGTAAGGATGTTGGAGGGGAGTGTGAGGGTGGTCGTGCCAGGCCTAGCGTTCAGAGAGAGTGTGAGGAGAGAGGAGAAGAGCGTGTGAAGTGTATGAGGAGAGAGCAAGAGATTAAAGAGGAGACAGGGAGAGAGGAAGGAGAAGAGACTTCATTTTTTCTTCGTCTTCCCTAAACTCTTGCGTCACCCGCTCTATACCTAGCTGCGGGTATTGACTGATCAATACTAGCTCACACCTCTCACTCTACATCCACACCACTCCCTCCTTCACCCACTTTGCTCCCTCTTCACCCACACCGCTTCCACAATACCCACACTGCTCCCTCTCTCTCCAAACACCACCTACAATCATACCGCTCCCTCTACACCGACACCATTCCCTCTACACTTATCCCCCTCCCTCTACACTCACACAGTTTCTTCCACAAGCGCACAGCCCACTTTACTCCTACACCGCTCCCTCTACAACCATACTGTTCTCTCTACACCCCCACTGACCTCTTTACATTTACACCGCTTCCACTACACCTACACTGTTCCCTCTACACTATCACTCTTTCCTCTACACCCACACCGCTCCCTCTACACCTACACTGTTCCCTCTACACTATCACTCTTTCCTCTACACCCACACTGCTCCCTCTGAACCATTAACACTCCCTCTACACTCACATCGCTTCCTCTAAACTATTAGAGGAAGTTACTCTAAACTTCCTCTAAAGAGCCTACCTCAAGTAGTGATCTCATGCGTGTGAATACTTCCAGATGACGCAGAGCTGATGAGGAATGTAAAAATAAAGAAGAACCGTAGAAAGTTACAAGAGGAACTGGTAAAACTTCAGGAATGGACAAATAAGTGGTTGCTAGAATTCAATCATAACAATTGTAAGGTAATGAAGATGGAAAAAGACGAAAGGAGTAAAGGAAGCCTCAACTCCATAAGCTAAAGACAACTACAGGAATGGGAAACACAGAATGATTTGATGAACGTTGGTGGTAAACGTTGGTGGTAAACGTTGGTGGTGAACGTTGGTGGTGGTTGTGGTGACTGCTATAGTAACACTAGTCATGAGGGGGGGGGGCAGCCACTCGATAGTGCTGCCACCTGGTGTGTGCTCTTTTAATCTATTTTGTTTACATGCTAGCAACCAGGAGGCCTGGTCGACGACCGGGCCGCTGGGACGCTAAGCC